ACTTCCAACTTTGTCAGGAAAGTCCTCAATGTTTCCTCACAATACTCATTAAATTTGAGCTGAGATTTCTCCCTGGTAGCAAATTTGATTGTTCATTTCAATATTAAGTCCTCCTTGGATTCAAACAAGTTCAATAAGTTCACATATCTTACACTGATTACTAAATGGTCTCTAATTAATTCATCCTGAAAAGCTTCATGCTCACAGCATCCTGCTTAATAATATAAATATGTTAAAATGGCTTCTATTGATTCACCTAAATGCTGAGATCGTTGATTAAGTATTGACCACTTAATCACTAAATTACTTTCTGGGTTAAAGTTTATGTTGAACTCTTCAATCAATGCATCATACTTTGTAGAACTTTCTTCTACACTTTGTCTTTCCAGAACATCATCAGTTACTAGCCCTATTGCGTATAAAAATGTGCTGACTTGGTAGCAGTGCTTATTTATGTGTAAGTCTGAAGCCATTCAATGATGTTGAAAATACTGCTTTCAGATCTCCCACTTTGAGCCTTCTATGTTTTCCATGAGTTGAGGTAATGGCAAGGTGTCTACTGGAGCTGACATCACTATGGGCAATTATGCTTGACTGATCTGCAACAGTACTTGGATATTTCCTCTCTTGAGGGATTTGTGGCCAGGGTCAAAGTCTTCTGAGGATCTTCCCTTGCCCCCAACCACCTTTTCAAAGCCTTCCCATTCTGTAGCCTTGCAAATGAAGTCTTCCAAGGATTCTTTCCCTGCCTTTGGAGTTTTCTCCACATCCAGCTTTTCTCATGAATCCTCTGAGGTTAAGGCCTACATTTTGAACCTTCCTTCTGTTTGCTCGGCTACATCATTGATATCATCCGAAGTCCTGTCCTGCCTTTGGAGTCTTCCCTTTTCAACTGTGTCCCTTGGACTCTACTTTAACTTCACATTTTGGCTCTGGAGGTTTTTTCCTTCACTGTCTCTGTGCTTTATCTTGCACCTTAAGTCGAGACTGTTACCTGTACTTTGTGTTTTCTGACTGGAATGCCATGGGTTTTGGAGTCTGCACATACACCGTCCCTGAGGTTACTTCCTCCTTATCATTATCTGGCTCTTAAACTACATATGTATTGGAACACTACTTTTTTAAAACATCTGTTCATACAGATTGTTCTCGATTAATGTGATTTTACCATGGTGTAGTTGTTATAGCCCATGATTCTAGTAACATGTCCCTGATTTGTAATAATACAGTTTTTACTCCTCTCCCAACAGCACTAAGGAATGAATGCCTGCCCAGACACAGCACTCCGAAGCAAGTTCTTGTTCAGTCTGCTTGTTTTGACTGTTGCCTGCTGGATTTTATTTTAAAAAAAGCTGTCCCGAATGAAACACAACCCTCCACCTCCAAAAGAAGCAAAAGAGCGGTCCAATGATCTACAATCTTCAACTTGCAGAGGTGCAGATCAGTCAAATGAAGATCTACAGTCTTCCCCCTCCAGGTAAACAATCTTGTATATGAGGCAAGGGTCATTCAAAAATATTCCATTCACATATTTTCATGTCTACTTTGGTGTTTTATATTAACCATATGCTTATATTCTATATTTGCTTGATATTCTGGAAACATAACCTGAACATGTACATGGGTTTCTATGAGAATGTGCATTTCATTTAATGCAGTGACTTCCTTTCACTTAGCCTACTTGTAGCCCTTGATTTACATAATAGTTATCTAATACAGCTCTCTCGATGACCTCTTTCCTCATATACTCATTCTAGCCTAGTGTCTTCTCCCTTACTAATGGCAAAGTCATGTCATCAGGTACATTGTCACAATTTACACCAATTTCACTATATGACACCCAGCACATTGTTTGTTATATCAATGATCGAGCATTTGCAATTATCTCCACAAACAATGCCATGAATGATCCGTATTGGCCTCCTCCTCAGGGTCCTATCATCTCAGATGCCAGTTTTCTGCCAAATTGCATTCCATGTGACTTCAGGAAATGGCTGATTATCGATCATTGCAAAAAGCCACGTACAAGGTATTAGAAAGCGTGCTTGCCAGTGCTGTTAAGTGGTTCTTATTCATGAGTTTGTGCTCCAGACCCTATTACAACGCTCATCCAACCTGGACAAAATGATTGAATTGCAGGTCTGAAAGTGACAATAATCTCAATCAATTCATCCTCAAAAGATTGCTTTAGGTGTTTATCAAACCAGTGTCCTAGGCCCAACCTTTTTAGCTGCTTCATCAGTGACCTTTCCTCCATCATAAGAGCAGAGATGAGATATTCACTGATGATTGCACAATGTTCAACACCATTCATAATTCCTCAGATACTGAAGCAATCTGTGTACATATGGACAACATTCAGGCTTAGCTTGATAAGGGAAAGTAATGTTTGCATCACACAGATGCTTCACAGTAATCATCTCCTTCACTATGAAACGTGATAAATTCTGTCACTTCCCTTGACATTCAATGCTATTATTATAAAAACTGCCATCATCAACACATGGGAATCAGCAAAGAAGTCACCAGAAAATGAACTAGAGTAATCATACAAGTGCTGAGGCCACAAGATTAGGTCAGATGCTAGGAATCCTCCAATAAGTAGCACCTCCTGCCTCCCCAAAACATTTCCATCATCTACAAGGCTCAAGTCAGGAGCTCTCCTCTTACCTGGATGAGTACAGCTCCAATAATACTCAAGAAACTAAACACCACCCAAGAAAAAGCAGCCCACCTGATTGGCACCCCATTCATGGCACATAAGATACATTGCAGCGTCATCAAGGTTCCATGACTGCAACTTCCAAATCCATGGCATCGATCAACTAAAAGAACAAGGTCAGCAGATACGGGCCATTTGGTCTATCGTGCCTGTTCCAGTCCTTTGATTTGCATCACTGCCTGCAAATTTCTCTCCAAATGAAAAACCGTCCTGATTTGGAACTGTATCACTGTGTCAGTGATATCGAAATTCTGGAAAAGCCTCAATTACAACACTTGGGTGTAGGTAGTTGTTTGGTAGCACAGAACTTGGGTATTACTGAAAAAAAGACAGATTTTGCCAAAGTGTTTCATCTTGCATTCATCGGGACAGTTCATAGGAAATACCATAGTCAACATCCAAAACTGCAGCTCACCAGCACTTTCACAAGGGACATTAACAATGGCCAATAAATACTGGTCTTACCAATGATGTTCACATCTCAGGCATTATTTAAATAATACATTCTAAAGCTTATTTAGAATCAATAGTTAGGTTTTAGCAATATTAGGAGTAATAATTAGGTGACTTTGTTAAACAGCAAAGCTAAAGTAGTTTGTGACCTCAAAGATCAGCCTTTAACTATTGGCTTGCTTTCACTGAATTAAAGATCCTCTTTCAAATTTTTCTCTAACCTATTTTTTTTAATCAACCTGTCCAGAGAGATATTACTACACACCTCTGGAGCAGTTGGGACTTGAACCTGAGCCTCCCAGTCCAGAGGTCGGCACACCACTACTGTGCCCTGAGAGCCCAAGATCATCTTTCATTTGCATTGCCTTGTTCATTGGCAGCTGTATCAACTATTGTATAATACCTAAGTGTCTAATTAGGTGCTATCTGCATTGAAATCTGTAATCAATTGAATCACTGAGTAACAGAATTTAAGTGGTTTCAGAGCTCTATTATTAATATAACTGCATTGCACCTGTTCTATTAAGCCCTCAACTGAATTGGTTCTTTGTTTTAATTCCTTAAGATGTATTCAGACTATTATGACATGCAATTAAATTCTTTAATGTGTTGTACTCACTTAGACTAGGGTTGTTGCTACCCCAATGAAGTGATACAAGGTATTTCTTTAAAAGCCTTTCACTAGAGAATCTGATCCATCTCAAGCAATTCAGTCATTAAGTTGGGACTGTCACTGCAGTGTAGAAGAGGGTACGTTGCATTGGCTGAGGTGCCAGCCTTCAGAAAAGATGGTAAATTGAGTTTCTGCCTGTCTGTCTGTCTGTCTGCCTGCCTGTTTGGTTGCATGTGAAACTATCTCATAATGTGATTTTGGGGAAGAGAATTCTAGTTCTCATCTGTCACTTGGCCAACATTTATCACTCAATCAACGTTGGTACAAAGAAATGATCTGGTCTTGATCGCATTAGTTTTGATAGATCTTGCTCTGTATGTACTTTATAAACAAGTATGAATTCAACAAGTCCATTAGTTGATGTGAAGGACATCTGGGTGTTCTGAAATTGTATAAGGTACTTTAGAAATGTCAGCCTTCTGTTCTCTGCTTATGATGTATCATATCTTAGTAGGAAGAACAAGGACAAGCAACGTAAAACAAAGTGCCCAATTCTAAATGGGGTGCAGGATCAGAGAGTCCTGTGACATGCATGCACAAATTGTTGAACATGGCAGGACAGTTTGGAAAAGGGGACTGACAAAGTAAATTGCTGGGGGATAGGTCGAGCACCAAGAGACCGTGATTTACAGTGAGTGGTAAAAGTGACGCAAGGAAAAACATTTTTTTAATGTGGGGATTGGTTAGAATCTGGAACACTTTTTGTCTCAGGATGTGGTAGAGGCAATTACAATCAGGGATTTCAAATAGGGAATGGACTTAAAAAAAAAAATGTTGCAGGGCAATGGGGAAAGTGTAGGGGAGTGTTTTTTTTTAAGTTGCTCTTTTGGAGAGCTGGTATGGACATGATGGGCTAAAGAGTTACCTTCTCTGCTGTAACCATTCTACGCTTCTGAGTACAGCAACTGAATGGTAATGATCTGAACCTGTGACTGCTTTATTTCTACATTCTAATCTAAAGTGCTTCCTAAATGTTCCAGAATCCAGGCAGCTGCTCCATGTTCACAGACTTGCTGACATTTCCTACTCTGAAATGACTTCCAGCTGGTTTTACCACAATTTTTCTTTCCCTTTGCCTGGGGGTGTTTTTTCCCTTCTGTTTTAAATGAGTTTTATTTTTCCTGTTGGATCTTGAACAATGGGCATCTGTGACTCTGGAGGCTTAACACACCAAGTCCCAGACTGGTTCCAGTAATTCAAAGGGTGGCAATCTTAGTGTAAAGCCAAAGCAATTAGCTTTCGGTGCAAAGAAGTTGCTTGCCAATGCAAACAGAAACAATAACCCAGATCGGCGCTTGGCTGTATCATTGTGAGGGTTGAGGCTGAGACAGACTGAAGAAGATTATTGTGTGCTGAGAGGAAACTGGCTCACATCCAATGCTTCACTGAAGAAGAGAAGGGAAGAGGAGCAAGTCCTTGGGTAAGTTGTTTAAGGTATAGCATGAGGGGAAATAAAAACAAGGACTTGCATTTATGCAGCACCTTTTTTGACCTCCGGATGCCTTAAATCTCTGCAGCCAATGAAGTGCTATTTAAATTGTATTCACTGCAGAATAAAGAAAACATGGCAGCCAAGTGCACACAAGACGTTCCCACAAACAACAATGTAACAGTGTTTGGATAATTAATCTTGTTGGTTGAGAGATGAATATGGGTCTCTTCTTTGAAATAATGCCACAGGATCTTTTATCTTCATCAGGAGGTGTATTAAACTGCACCCAACGGGACTGCACTCCTTCAGTAGTGCCCTGGATTGTCAGCCTAGCTTTTTGTACTCTGATCTCTGCAGTGAGTATTTTGCCCAAGAATGTGTGATTCATGAAGAAGCTGCCAGTGAGCCATTGCTTGGGTTGACAGTATGTTACCCAATTTAACTCACTGACTGCATCCATTCACATCTTCAAGTAGAATAAAGAATTTATCTTCTTCTTTCGCTGAAGACTAAAGCAAAATATGTAATAGTGAATGATTATTGGAAGATTACATGTTATTGTAAGTGACTTTCAAAGGGCATTGCATGAAAACTTAAAGTGAGGGGGTAAACTGCAGAAACAAAAACAGACATTGCTGGAGAAACTCAGCAGGTCTGGAAGCATCTGTGGAGAGAAAGAAGAGTTAACGTTTCAAGTCCAGTTAGGTCCTGAAGAAGGATCACTGGACATGAAACATTAATTCTGGTGGTTTCTCCACAGATGCTGCTAGATGTCCTGAGTTTCTCCAGCAATTTATTTTGGATTTCCAGTATCTACAGTTCTCTTTGTTTTAAGGGGTAAGGTTGCAGGCTACAGGGAAAGGGCAGGTGTTAGTGGCATTAATTGTACAGCTCTTTCAAGGCAATAGCACAAACACAAATGACTAAATGGCCTCCCCTGTGCTCTAAGAATCTTTGGGTTTGATTTTAATTGCTTACTGGTGATTGGGTTTTGATTGAGTTAAAACCTCAACTGTTTCCGATCAGAGCACAAGAACCAGTACAGAGCAAACCCCCAATATAAACACGTACTGCCCTTGTAAATAAACTGCAATCTATATAGTCATTTCTGACCTTTTAGGAAGTACATAATTAAGAATAGGCTGCAGCATGTGAAATACTGAATCATATAGAATATTGCACAGCTCGGCAAGTGATAGTGTCGGGAAAATGTTTACATTTGAGTGCTCAGTTAGAGTTGCGGGAAATCATGTTAAATTCACAAGTGTTCTGATGGCACTGTTTGGTTGATCTTTCTAGATTGATAAAGTATGACAGCGTAATTTCAGATTGCTTGTTTTATTTACTAATGTCTTTCCTGATATATATTAATGCCCTTCAACTTGGTGCACAGCTGGTTGATGAAGTACAGTTGGAGAAATGAGGTGATTCATTTTGGTAGGAGAAGCAAAACAAAATAAAAGGTACAACTCTAAAAGGGATATAAAAGCAAAGGGACATCAATATATATAGGCATTAGTCATTGAAACTTGCAGGACTGGTCGAAAGAGTTGTTAATAAAGCATAGATCGTCCTAAACTTTAGCCATAGGAGCATAGACTACAAAAGCAAAGTGCTGATGTTGAACTTGTCTAAGATGTTAGTTAGACAGCAGCTGGAGTATTGTGTATAGCTCTTGGCTCCATATTTTAGGAAGAACGTGAATGCATTACAGAAGATGCAGAAAAAACACCAATGCTAGTTTTTCAAAAGAAGACAAACTTAAGTTATCAAAGATAGGTGGGAGAAGTTGAGACATTTCCTTGAAGAAAAGAAAGCTGGAAAGAGATTTGATAGAAGTATTTAAAATCCCTGAGGCTGGACAAAGTATATCGATAGGAACTTTTACCATTCATGAGACGATTGAGAATAAGAGGGCACAGATTAAAAGTAACTGGTAAAGGAAGCAAAATTGAAATAAGGAAAAACTTAAAAATGCATTAGCTAAAAGTGTAATGGAGGTAAGTGAAACAATGAAAAGGGAATGCAACTGTTATTTTATGAAAAAGGGAATGATTTGCATGGGTAACAGGGTGAGGGTTGGAGAATGGCATGAAGTAAATTACTCGTTTGGAGAGCTGGCACAGATGTGATGAGCTGAATGGCTTCTGACAGTTCTGTAACAATTCTGTGAAAAAGCAGTTATGTCTATTCTCAGACATTGTGTTCGTTCACTGTTAGTGCATTAGAAAATCATTTGTGAGGAGTTTTAAGCCATCAAAATGAGCCACTTTGCTACAAACCTCAATTTGTCCCTCCTCTCAACCTCAGTGGCAGCCTGGCGCTGCGGGCCCTCCCTGTGAGAGTCAGTCAGTCAGTAAATCACTCCACCTGGCAAATGGAGTTAGCAACCTGGATCAAGCCCTGCTGTTAAACTTGTCAGGAGCTGAGCTAAACCCATTCTTCTGGGTTTTCAGTCTGTACAACAACATCCCCTTACTCCTCAGCACCCCTTCACCCCACATCTTCTTCACATCTACAAGACATAACTCAGTACCCCCTCATAACTCCGCTCCCTCCCCACCCAACATCCCCTCAGTACTCTGCACCACCTCATTTTGCAGCATCCAGCCTCCAGCCTCCAGCAGGGTTTACCCTACAGCATCCCCTCACACTGCCTCACTCCCAGCTGCCTGTCACTATCAGGATGCCAGATTCTTAGGTTACAAAAGGAGGTCTTTTGCCCCATCATCTCCAATGGCCCTTGTGAAAGAATTAACAATTCAGATTTATTCTCCATACTTCACTCCTACAGGTCTGCATTGTTTTCCTTTGCAACTGTACGGTTAATGTAACCATGTGATTGAATCTACATCTGCTGCCTTTGAAGGCATTGCCTACAAATTAACAATCTTCTCCTCTTAATTACCTGCTGCTTTAGATGTTTAGACTTAAAATATTTTCTCCATACTGTTCCAATTTTTCAATCCAGTTTGATTATAGCAGTCTACTGAAGTGCAGTGAAGTCATGGTGTGAAATATTAACATACGGACAGGTTTCTGAGAAACCTGCTTTGTAAACCAAGGCATTAAAATTTGATTCAACAAATTAGAGCAGGGGATTTTGGTTAGTTACAGTCATTGTGTATTAGCTAATAATACAGTACAACTTTTAGATGTTTCAATAATGCTCTACAACAGATTTAATTATATCTTTGGAAAGGGAATTGGATGAAGAGTTGAAAGAAAATTTGTTCGATTCTATTCAGAAAGCGCAAAGGAATGAGATTAATTAGGTAGCTTTGTCAAAAAAATGATGTTGCAGACGGGTTCCTTCTGTGTCTGATCATTCCCTGATATTCAATTGCCAAACCAGTCGATCAGGTTTAAATCTAGAAGGCAGATATCATCTGGTACATACAGATGCATATAAATTTACGTTGAGTGATCGGCCTCCTGGAAATAAGTTAGTTGCTTGTTATAACTCAATTAAAATTTGAGGTGAATTGGGTTTGCGTTTGAAATTTAAAGATTTCTTTTCTATCCCATGTGACCCAATCTCACCTGTTTTGGGGTTTAACGTTTCCCTTATTGCAGTTAACTTGAATCAGCAACCACACATGAAGCATTGTTAGTGAAAATAGAGAACAAATCCTGTTTTACGAACATTAAATTAGCATTAGTACTGATGCAGCTGTGTTATGATCTTTGGAGTGATTTCCCTTTAAAAAGCTCAATATACAAATAAGCCAAGTACCCAGATGCTATAACATAACCACAGGTTCTGCACTGTAGCACTAAAGGCATATGCTGTGTTTGGTACTGGGTCCACTTTTGTTTCTCATATATATAAACGATTTGAATGAGAATTTAAGAGACATGGTTAGTAAGTTTGTGGATGGCACCAAAATTAGTGTAATAGTGGACAGTGAAAGTTATCAAATATTACAAAGAGACCGTGATCAAATGGTTCAATGGGCTGAGGAGTGGCAGATGCAGTTTAATTTGGATAAATGCAAGGTATTACATTTTGGTAGAACAAACAAGGGCGAGACTTATACAATTAATGGTGGGGCCTTGGGTGGTGTTGTAGAGCAGAGACACCTAAGGGTTCAGGTAAATGATTCTTTGAAATTTTGTAATGTGTAGACAGGGTTGTTAAGAAGGCATTTAGCATGATTCTCTTCATTGTTCAGACCTTTTTGAGTATTGGAATTTGGATGCCATGTTGAGGTTGTACAGAATGTCGGTGAGGCTTCTTCTGGATTATTGTGTAGAGTTCTGGTTGCCCTGCTATAGGAAGGATGTTATTAAATTGGAAAGGGTTCAGAATTGATTTACCAGCATGTTGCTGGGAATGAAGGGTTTGCACTATAAAGATTGACTGGGACATAGGAGCATAGGAGGTTGAGGGGTGACCTTATAGAGGTTTATAAAATCATGAGGAGCAAAGACAAGGTGAAAAACAAGGGTCTTTTCCCCTGGGTGGGAAGTTTAAAACTCGGGGGCATATCTTTAAAGTGTAAAGAGAAAGTTTTAAAAAGGACATGAGGGCAAATTTTTTATGTAGAGGGCAGTTCATGTGGGGAATAGACTGCCAGAGGAAATGGTGGACAGTTAGAACATTTAAAAGACATTTGGATAAGCACATGAATAGGGAAGATTGGGAGAGATGTGGGACTAGTTTTGTTTGGGAACATGGTCAGTGTGGACTAGTTGGACTGAAGGATCTGTTTTCATGCTGTATGACTGACTCTGCACTGTATATATTAGCCTACCTGTAAATAAACACACCAGAAATCTTCAAGTAAACAGAATCGAAGTACCTCATTTGAGTTACATCTAGATAGTATAAAAATGTTATTACATGATGGCAGCTGTTGGATGCAATAGGTAGCAGGTTTCCATTAACAGTGGGATTAATTTAAGCTGCCTGAGGAACCCTCAATCCAAAACAGTTAATGGCCCACTAACTAAATGCAATATACGACATTATCATTCCCACCTGCCCCAGGGCTGTGTAATAACACATGTGAACAGGTTGGCTCAAAAATATCTCTAAGGATAGCCTTTAAGGCGTTCTTGTGGTGCACTGGTAGTGTCTTTTCCTCGCAGACAGGAGGCTCAGATACTGGCCATACCTGCTCCAGATGTGTGTCATAACATGTATCAACAGGTTGATTCAAGGTAGATCTAGGACTCTTGTAGTGCAGTGGTAGTGTCCCTATTTTTTGGACCAAGAGGTCTGGGTTTAAGTTCTATTTGCTCCAGACATTAGTAATAACATCACTGAAAAAGCTATTATCAGGTAAAATATCTTAAAGGATAGCCTGATGCCATAAAAGAGATGTCAGATATGCGCAGATGCTTTAGACCTTAAGGAAATTAGCCTGCTTTGTCAAGAGGCATTATTTTCAAAGGAAAACAAATACCTTTTACATGAAGATCTTTGGGAGATGTTGTCACAACCACACAAGAATGTATGGGCAGAGAGTGAATGAGACAAGTAGATGAGGCTATTGACCAGGGCTAAATGGTGACATTGAAAAGTTAGTAAGGATGTGCAAGGTATGCTAGAGCCATCTGTCACAGCAATGTGGAAAATACCTACACCTGCACCAGGATTTTGTCAGTCTCTTGGTCCAAAATCACACCAATCGATTTACCATCGATGATGATTTTTATTCATTTTAATGGGTGATAATTTCGTCAAATTTCTAGTTGTTGCACAAGTAAAGAACACTTCAAACGAGGCCAAGGCAGGCTCATTGAGTGCCATGTTCAGTTTGATTGATGCACCACAGAGAACATTTTCTGGCAATGCACCACAGTATATGAGTAGACTACTGAAAGATTGTCATGAACACCACGACATCCTCATCACTTGCATGCCGATCAGTCTCGCTATGTGAATGGCGCCCAGCTATAAATGTGTGGTATCAAAACAAAAGATTTTGTTTGTTGTGTTTCTCCTCAGCTATACTTTGGATATGGTATCACCATCACTGGGCAGAAGTCATATTCAGAAGCAAAGTGAGAGCACAACATTGCCAAGCCACCACCTTTCCAAATTCTCCCAGATGCAGGATGTACTTTTTGACAAACCAGAGTGAATGACAATGGTTCATGACTCGTGTAGGTATAGACCAAACCCAACAACACATTGGGCCAAAGTGTCAGTCACATTTCACTTGATGGGAGCATGGTTACATTCAAAGTTTTCCAAATATGCAGTGAGTTCAGACCTTATGGATTCAGAATACGTACTGCAACAATGCTGAGTAGTAACTATAGCCAGTGAAGGGTCGTGTACAATATGCTAATTGTGCACATTGAAGATGAAATAACACCCAGGTGACAACGGTGTAACGTAATGCCAGGACGATAAACAAGTCACTGATCACAGCCAAGTGTTAGATGCATACTTTCAGGAGGTTATACCATAGCAAGATCTAGAAGAGTTGTCAAACAGCATAAATTATATATGGATTCTCAGGACTTTGTGCCTTGTAAATTTTACAATTCCTATAACTGCATAACTAATTTTGCTCTCTCTAAATGTTACTGTTTTCACAAATAGGATAAAAGAGTCATCTTTGGAAAATAAACAGGGATGTTGTGTATTCATCCTAAAAGTGATACCCATCTATGGTCAAAGAAGAGCTGATTCCAGAGGTGAGTTGAGATTGACTGTTCTTGACATCAAGGCTGTATCTAATGAAGTGTGGCATCAAGAAGCCCTACTCAATTCACTGGGGAATCAGGAGCCATACCTGACACACAGGAGGATGGTTGTGGATGTTGGACATGTCATGCCTCATTGGGGTAGCACACTGGAAATCAAGCCCTCTCTTCCCAGAATCATCACAAAAGTTAAAGATTTAAGCAAAATTCCTCAATGAACTTTCTTTTAAATCCAAGTGAAAGAAAGCGTGGATCAAACCTACAACCAACACCATCTAGAAGGTCAAAAGCATTAGATTCACAGGAATGCCACCACCTGCAAGGCTCCTTATTAGTTACTCATACCCTGATTTATAAATATATCACCGTTCCCTCAGTGTCACTGAGTCAAAATCCTGGAATTCCCTCCCTAATGATATTGCGGTCTATCTACACCAAAATCAAAAAGGCGGCTCAAAACCTCGTCTTAGAAGCTCAACATTCAAATACGCCCAAGTACCTAGATGTTATCACATGACTATAAGCCGCAAGCTTCTGTACTGTAGCGCTCGAGGCACAGGCTCTCTCTGGAGATTACTCTGTGCTGTATATGTTAGCTTAGTTGTTTTTAAAAAAACCCCACTAGAGGTCTTCAAGTAAATGGAGAATTCTAGAGGGGACGAATGTAGTTACAGGTGCCTCAAGTTGGCACAGGCAGAATTATAACTATTGAAGTAGAAATTTCTAATGGCAAACAAGTGGCAGGAAATGAGCGTGACTCCATGTCACACATTCTCTTTCCTGCAAAAACCTGGTCCAGTTTCACATGAAAAGATGCAACTTGTTATCAATCTGAAGCAGTAACACAGCCAGTTCATGTTGCTTTATTCAATTCAAGCACCTTCCTGTCCTGCTCTTCCCACTCTGGCAAAAACAGAAATTTGCTGAAATGAAAACTAGCGCTCTCCTGATCCAGTACAGATAAAAAGGATGCCACTCAGTTGAAGTGTATTCCAAAAGTCACATCTCTTAGGTGAAACCTGACAAGGTAAGCTGCTTAAGTTTCTGTTTCCCTTCATGTGTGTCTGTCTTCTACCCAAGCTACAGGCTGTATGAAAATATGACGAATAGCACACTTCTGATTGCAGGAAAATCTCACTAGCTCTGTACTTTAAGAGTCGAAAGGTCTGGAGTTCAATTTTAAACAAAATCTTTGTTTTGGCAGATTAAGTGAGCAAATTATCCTTCCAAAGTGCAGGATGTTTAAAGAGCAATTAATCTAACAGTAACAATGTCCAGGTTAAAATCTATTACTGCAACCTCCTGGTGTGGATGGAAATTCACTACTGGGAGATAGCTTTGGACGAAGAATAGTGAGCAAAAGTGGGTAAACAGAGATGAGCTGTAGATCATGCATGTTCTAATTGAATAGCATAAAATGGGTTTGTTGAGCCCTCCTGTGTCAAAGTTATAAGTCACATGACACCAGGTTATAGTCCAATAGGTTTATTTGGAATCTCTCAAGCTTTCTGAGTACAGCCCATTCATCAGATATCTACTCCTTCAATTTACTGGCCGTTAATTTTCAATGAATGTGTGCTATTGGATTGGAATCTTGCTGCTGGGAGAACTCACTGGGAGATTGCAAGCATGGTCAAAAACTTTGGGGGGTTGGATTTGTGTCCCATTTTGAGAACAAAAAGGTGCGGGGGCAGGGTGTTTGTCAGGCTGCATTTTGCAAGCATTTGTAAAATTCATCCACTCAAAATGAATAGAAGCTGGTTTACCAGGACGTTGCCTGGTATGGAGGGAAGGTCTTATGAGGAAAGGCTGAGGGTCTTGAGGCTGTTTTCGTTAGAGAAGAAGGTTAAGAGGTGACTTGATAGAGACATACAAGATGATCAGAGGATTAGATAGGGTGGAGAGTGGGAGCCTTTTTCCCCGGATGGTGATGGCTAGCACGAGGGGACATAGCTTTAAATTGAGGGGTGATAGATATAGGACAGATGTCAGAGGTAGGTTCTTTACTCAGAGTAGTAAGGGTGTGGAATGCCCTGCCTGCAAAAGTAGTAGACTCGCCCACTTTAAGGGCATTTAAATGGTCATTGGATAAACATATGGATGATAATGGAATAGTTTAGGTTAGATGGGCTTCAGATTGGTTTCACAGGTCGGCGCAACATCGAGGGCCGAAGGTCCTGTACTGCACTGTAATGTTCTATGTTCTATGAAATATGAAATCGCTTATAGTCGTGTTACAGATATCATCCTGGATACTGAGGAGGCAAACAAATTGAGACTTGTTCACATGGCAAGGAATGAGCAGGAAGAAAAATCAAATCAAATTATAAGTGCGATAGCAGTAGGGCAAAATTATGCTGGAGGGGGGAGTCTCATTTAAACAGCAAGCATACCCTAAGCTTGGGAGGAATGCAGCACCTGATTAAATACCTGAAGATGTTTGGATTTGTTCTTTTTTTTGCCTTGCGAATGTGAGAGCACATGAGAAAAGATTAGCGTAGAAGGCCATTAATGGGGTGAAAAAGAAAAGAATTCAGCCATGGCAGTAAGATAACCAAAAATACTGCAGCTGCTGGTAACCTGAAGCAAAAGTAGCTGGAGATAGGCCAGATAAGTCCATCTTCAAAATATAAAGATGTCATAGATAACCAGAAACAGAGCAATGCATTGAATGAGGAACATATCCATTGACCATGTGAGAAAAGATGAAAAATAACCCGGCCATAAAATGTTAAGGAGGAGATGGAAATGATTTAGGGGAAGAAATTATGAAGAACAAGAGATAAAAGAGAACCACTTTGAGAGTAGTCAAAGAGACACTAAAAGTGGGAGAGGGGCCAAGGAGCGAGAGAGAAATAAAGTAAGAAACTGGCAAAATGAAGCAAGCCCCAGCATATGAGCTGCATACTGTACTAAAGGAGGAACAAGGACCTGAATTTAGAATGTATTCATAGAGAATGTGTCATAGATTACTGTCAGTTCAGATTAATATCTCAGTGAATGAAGCTTGGTGCATGCTGACCCGGGTTGAAGGAATGTCTGCGGGTTGTGTTTATGGTGCTTTTAGATGTTGCTCAATGACAGTTTCATGGGCACAGGCAAATTAGTTTCAGCTGTTTTATCGTTGAATTCCAATGGAAATATCGTCTGTAAAGTTCTGCTCTACAGTCCTGTAAGTGCTGGCACCAAGGAAACCTGAAACTTCAGAAGAATCCACCAGACATTCAGGCTTAATCTGAGCGGTGCTGTCTGACTGTCAGGGCACTAGCATGTGCTGGAAACATGCACAGTGGGCAAATCCTGACATCAAACAGCGTCTGACTTGGCATCTGATTTGCCGTTTTGGATCCTCCAGGTTCAGTTAATGTTTTCTTTTAATCACTCTCAGATGAACATGTGTTCAACTGCATGAGGACCCCATACCATGAATGCTAAATAAAGGGAAAATACTTTAACTTTGAACCACTTTAGAATTCCTGTTGCTGCTCTGTTCACTATTGCGAGAGGAATTCAGATGTTTTCGATTCAAGGCAATGGGAACGTAAGCCAACCATTCAGCCCATCAAGCCTGCTCCATTTAATTTGATCATGAATAATCATTTACCTCAATACCACTTGCCACATGATTTCTGTACCCCTTGATGTTTTTCTTGAATCCACTTTCTTGAATTTCTGGAAAGGGTGATGAGCTTTGACAAGGATATCAGATGAGATGTGTGGGGTCAGGGGCACTGTCGGGAGAAAGTCTTCTTCAGTCAGCTGTAATTTCTCCTGGAGCTACAGCGTGACCTGGAAAAGGAGCAGAGGCAGCAGAGAGGGGAGGCTGTCTGTAGATGGAGGAAGAGGAGGGCTTGCAGGAGAAGGTCAGAACTGCCAAGGGTCTGCAGACAGTACTTCACCTACCTGCAAGTCAGCCAGAGTCAATGTCTGAGGCAGCCACATGTTCCCAAGGTGATGGTCACTGAATTGTGTCACCTCCTGTGATTGGACCCATGGTGCTACCAGTGGTTATGAAGGTGGAGTGTAAGAAATTCATGGTCACACGGTCATGTGCAGGTTGCACTTCATGTCAGATAGCAGAATGTGGGATTTGAGAGAGGCATTCTGTCATCCAGAATGTTCTCAGTGACTCCAGATCTAATGGTGTTAGTCACAACCAACAAGGAACTGTGATAGTAGGAACTGCAGATGCTGGAAAATCCGGGATAACGTGCAGAGCTGGATGAACACAGCAGGCCGAGCAGCATCATAGGAGCAAAAAGGCTGACGTTTCGGGCCTAGACCCTTCATCAGAAATGGGGGAGGGGAAGGGGGTTCTGAAATAATTAGGGGGAGGTGGATAGAAGATAGGTGGAGAGGAGATGGACAGGTCAAAGAGGCGGGGATGGAGCCAGTAAAGATGTGTAGGTGGGGAGTTAGGGAGGGGATAAGTCAGTCCAGGGAGGAGCTTCAAAATCTCCCCTCCTCCTACCACATCCCAAAACCAGCCCAGCTCGTCCCCGCCTCCCTAACCTGTTCTTCCTCCCACCTCAATCCGCACCCCCATCTCCTACGTACTAACCTCATCCTGCCCCCTTGATCTGTCTGTCCTCCCTTCTCCTCTATCCATCTTCTATCCGCTTCCCCCTCTCTCCCTATTTATTTCAGAACCCCCTTCCCCTCCCCCATATCTGATGAAGGGTCTAGGCCCGAAACGTCAGCCTTTTTGCACCTATGATGCTGCTTGGCCTGCTGTGTTCATCCAGCTCTGCACCTTGTTGTCTCAACAAGGAACTGTCACCTGCCCTGCCCCCAGGGGATTAGGGCATGAAGGCATACCTGTATCTGCCAGCTCTCAGCTGCTTCATTTGGTGATGTGCTGTGAGAAAGGTGAAGAAGCCAGTGAGGGCATTGCGCCATGTCCGGAGTGATTTCTTGTAATAACCAGATGCAAGTTGGTGGGTATGAGGCTGGCAACGTTGGTGTATGAAGGTAAGGTACAGTTTGTGAAA